GCAGATGTTAGCTCAGGGCCCATCTTCCTCAAAAAAAAAAAATAAATAAAAAGACCTGAGAGGAAGTGATTATTTCTGCTCACTTAGCAAAACCCTAAAGTGGGTTAATTAACATGCATATTATTCAGCTCATTTGTACAAATAATATAAAAACGATTCATGACTAAATTTTGAAATACACTGAATGTAAAACTTTTTGCAAGGTCATTTTAAGATAATAGATAAAATAATTTTTTTTACCCCCAATGGGCAAGTAAAAGTCTAAACAATATAATTGTGTATGTAATACCTTATTTATCTAATATCATATGGGAATGATTTATTCCATGAACAAAGTAAATTTAAATAGATAAGCTTACTCCACCACCAAAAGTTTGATTTTAGCCATTTCTTAAAGAAATCTCTTAAAATGTATTATATGCTTTCTTGCATTATATAGAGAGTATATTGAATGTATCTTGACCTTCTTGGATATTTCTGTGAATCCAATCTTTCTATTGGACTGCAGTAAGTGTTGCCTTCAGAGACAATTGCCATACCCATAGCAGGAAGCAGCATCTACCTACGGGGCAGTAAGACCTCTGTGTAGGTCACCACGTTCTGACTTTGGTCTTCAGCTTCTATGAAAGGTCTATATATAAAACTTGCCTCTATTTTTAATACACTTAAAGTTGATATGATATATTTCTAACCATACAAGAAGCTGCTGTATAAACTAGAGTGCCAACTTAATAAATGCAAGTGAGACATAATTATAGCGCTAAGAACACCGGAATATTTGCTGAACTTCTGTTTGTTGGCAAATCTAATTGGAAAGCCAAATGATAATTGGAAGTTCATTTGGTGAACATGGAATTAAAGAACAGGGCACTAATTGGATAATTTTTATGACTGATAAGTGTCATCCAAATGTGCTTGCCTGATGCATCTGTCCCCAGTGTTGAGATGTAGCAGTTGGAGAGTAGTTACAGTTTTCTCTTATATATGGTCAAGACTTCAATTTTTAGTCCTGACCTTCCCACTATGACCTGGGAAATAATCTGCTCTTGAGTCTTTGGACCGCTCTTCCAGGGGAAGCACCTCATTATTGTCCTCATATGCACTAAGTAACCTTTCTGCTGCTTTTATTGTACTGTGACCTGGACCTCAGACAACCCCATTCATTTTTATCTTCATTTTATCTTTTCAAGAGGAAGGGCTCATGAGTGAGGTTTACACATGCCGTTGTGGCATCTATTTTGTCCATCCAGAGGGGTGGGGTGCTTCCCATCATTTGGTTTCTTGCCTCTCTTTGTTCTAGCCACATGTCTGTCTAAAGGCTTTTTTTGATGGTATGGATAGGATCTTGTTGGTTCTTGAGTTAAATTTTTATTTTCAGTTTTCCTTTACAAAACTTTTATATCTCTAAGAAAAAAGAACCTTTCAAAAGAATTTTTGGCAATAGTAATGGGAATGATCTTTTTCCTTCTAGATTTGTTTGAAGCTCTTTCTGAGCTCATAATTTTAACAGCTAGCCATTGTTTACATGGAAAGGAAATCAGAAGTCAACTCAATGAGAAGGTGGCACAGCTGTATGCAGATTTGGATGGAGGTTTTAGCCATGTGGCCTGGCTATTGCCAGGTTGGCTCCCTTTGCCTAGTTTCAGGTATGGATAAAGAGACTATATTTGGTTGTTTAACTTCGTAAAATTTCTAGTGTTGTTTGGTAGTGTTGATATGCTTTCTGTTAACTAAGATAGAAATTAAACATATAACAAACAAGTTGGGGATATTATGAGCCCCCATTCTTCTATAAGAATTCAAGACAGGTTTTCTTTATATAGTGAGGTCATTAATGGTTTCCCCATTTAAGGAAACCTCCCATTTCAGTTTATTAAAAATGTAATTTGTTGTCTATCTGGTCTACTAGTTTAAAACCTATTTATCTCATATTCTTTGTACTCAGGAAAGTCTCTGAACTCTACCTAAAAGTGATAGAGCCCTCTCAGCACTTGTTTGAAAGTATTTGACTGTTTCGTAGTATATTGCGAAATTTCTTTGTTTTGAACTATTAGTACCTTTCTTCACAGACAACTGTACTGTGCTTTCCTTAAGGGCAGGGACCATCTGTGATACAAAGAAATATTGCCCATAGGACTTGACATGTGGTATGTCAGTAGGCTTTCTGTACCTTTGTTGATTCATTTCTGTTCAGGTGAGAGATGGGGAGTAGTTAAATTGGTACTGCTTTCCTTCCATTTCTGCCACTTCTGTTTAGTTACAGAATAAAGAGGGGTGAGAGTAAAAGCAAAAGGCAAGAGAGATTCTCTGGAGTCTTGGAACTCATAATACCTTATATTTGTAAGGAGGTTTGTGGTTTTCAAAATGCTTTCATCCATAATGTTAGAGCATCCAGCACAGCCCTTGGCCTATAGTGGGTTTTGCATAAATGGGCATCAGGCCTGTTTCCACCTTCCCTATCTCCTTGATGAAGTCAGAAATTCCTAAGCTTGGTATGATAGGCCTTTCACACTGCAGCCCGGTCTTTCTCTGTCTTACCTGAACCAACTGATTTAATCAAATTATTATTCCATTCACTTTCTTCAACAAGCCTTATGTTTTCCTGGCTCTGCTGTGTTCATAGTGTTAGATTTTAACATCATCTTCCTTTCTGCCCACATTATCTCAGTTGATCCTCAGTAACAGTCTTAAAAATGAAGCAGGGCAGCAATTTTTATTAGAAGGCTTGATTAAGAGGGGGCTAGGTAGTCAGATTGCTTGGTTTTAAATTTCAGCTCCACTGCTCACTGGCTGTGTGATCCTATGCAGTTAGCTGTGAACCGAGGATAATAGCATCTACCTCACAGGAGGTCAAAGTGGGTAATTTGTATAAAACACTTACGGTACCTGTTACCTAGTGAGCACGCTACTTTAAAGGTAAAATTTTGGGAGCTGAAATTTGTTTTCTGACTCCACTAGTATTTTTGCCCCCTACAAATTTGTTGTCTTACAAAATGATAAGTAGAATCACATCTTGTATGCTCTAGTCATATTCTAAATCCTAGATTTAGATAATCCTAAATCAATCCTAGGTTTATTCAAATCCTAAATCAGAGTAAGTCTTTGTCTGCTTCAAGAATTAATTTGGTTAAAATTGGAATTTCATGTTAAAACAGTATTCTGCTTTCTTTTAAATTGGAAAATGATTCTAAAGGAATAATAATTTGAGTCTTAGTTAGAACACAGGTAGTGTTAAGAATCAGGGATATATATATGTTAAAACACATTTCTTGCCCTTAAGGATCCCAGAAATTCCTAACAATATAAGATTTATGTGGCTTTTTTTCTGTTGGTTCTCAGTTTTGTCAATTATTTTAGAGTCATTCAAGTTAGTTAAATAAGGTTGCCTTAAGCTAGGTTCTGGTTATTTTCAAAATGAATTTGATGCCAGAAAATATTGCTTTATATTTTAAAGTTATTTTCATCTTTGAATTACAGACGCAGGGACAGAGCTCATCGAGAAATCAAGAATATTTTCTATAAGGCAATCCAGAAACGCAGACAGTCAGAAGAAAAAATTGATGACATTCTTCAAACTTTGCTAGAGTCTACTTATAAGTAAGAGCTGTTCAGATCTGTATTAAGGTGAAGCAGGAAATTACACACTAAAACATAGTTAAAAAATATGTCCAGTTAAAAAGTAATGATGCTGGCAAAATTAGTAGCTATGACCTTTGGACTTTTTAAATGGACGAGACATAAATTACTGGGATCCTGTGTCTTACTAGAATCCCAGTGACTGCACATGGTAAAAAGTTTGCTAATAAACTGCAATGAAATCTTGTGTAATCAAAATCATGTCTTCTATTGGTCTGTCTCTTTTTCCTAATGGAAAAAAATTTCTGACTTGTGATGGGCAAATGCAAGACTTATACCTGAAAATTTTATTCATTATGACCCTTTATTTTAAAAGTTGAGGCATGAAATGTGTCTGCCAAAATGTTAAATTTGTGTGTTTGGTTCATTCTGTAGGGATGGGCGTCCTTTGACAGATGAAGAAGTAGCCGGCATGCTTATTGGCCTGCTCTTGGCAGGGCAGCATACGTCCTCAACTACTAGTGCCTGGATGGGCTTCTTTTTGGCCAGAGACAAAACACTTCAAGAAAAATGTTATTTAGAACAGAAAACAGTCTGCGGAGAGGATCTGCCTCCTTTAACTTATGATCAGGTTTGTTGGATTTTCAATTTCATTGCTGCCTTATGACTTTGAGTATCAGTGGCTAATTTTTAAAGGGGACAATCTGAGATTTTTTATATACTATAGAGTAAATTGATTAGCTTCTTTATTTTTAGAAAATTCCCTACAGCCCTCCTTGAAATGTCCTAATACTGGATTTATTTTGCTAGTATTTTGTTGAGGGTTTTTGCATTTATAGTCATAAGTGATATTGGTCTATAGTTTTATTGTGATGTATTTGACAGGTTTTGGTATCAGAGTTAAGTCCCACGTTGCTTAACGACTGAGATACATTCTGAGAAATGTGTCATTAGGTGATTTTGTCATTGTGTGAACATCATAGAGTGTACATACATAAACCTAGATGGCATAGCCTACTAGACACCTACGCTGTATGGTACTCATCTTGTGGGACCGTCCTCCTATATGCGGTCCGTCCTTGACCAAAACGTAATTGTGCGTCACTTGACTGTAATACTAGTCTCATAGAATGAGTTTGGAAATGTTCTCTCCTATTTTTTTGGAAGAGTTTTTGAAGGATTGGTGTTACTTCTTTCTTACATGTGGTAGAATTCACCGTGAAGCCATCTCGGTTTGTGCTTTTCTTTGTGGGAAGTTTTTTGATTTTACTAATTCAGTCTCTTTACTTGTTAATAGGTCTATTCATATGTTCTATTTCTTCTTGAGTCAGTTTTGGTGGTTTGTGTCTTTCTAGGAATTTGTCCAATTCATCCAGGTTACCTAATTTATTGGCATACAATTGTTATAGTATTCTCTTAATAATCCTTTTTATTTCTGTAAGGTCAGTAGTGATGCTCCCTTCATTCCTGATTTTAGAAACTTTTAAAATAATAGCTTAATTGATATATAATTCACATATTATAAAATCCATCCATTTAAAGTGTACAATTTACTGTTTTGTTTGTTTGGTGAGGAAGATTGTTGCTGAGCCAACACCTGTGCCAGTCTTCCTCCATTTTGTATGTGGGACACTGCCACAGCATGGCTTGATGAGCGGTGTATAGGTCTGTGCCCAGGATCCAAACCCATGGACCCTGGGCCGCCGAAGCTGGGCATGCGAACTTAACCACTATGCCACCGGGCCAGCCCCATACTGGTTTTTTAACAGTTTTTATTCAAGTTTTTATTCAGAGTTGTGAAACCATCATCCCAATTTAATTTTAGAACATTTATATCACTTTCAAAAGAGACCCAGTACCCATTAGCAGTCATGCTCTCTTTCCCCTGTCCCTTGCCCCTGGCAATCACTAATCTACTTGTTGTCTCTATGGATTTGCCTATTGTGGACATTTCATATAAATGGAATCATACAATATGTAGTCTTTTGTGACTGGCTTCTTTCACTTAGCATGTTTTCAAGGTTAATCCATGTTGTGGCATGTATCAGTACTTCAATCTTTTTTTTATTGCCAAGTAATATTCCATCATATGGATATACCACATTTGTTTATCCATTCATCAGTAGATGCACATTTAGGTTGTTTCCACCTTTTGGCTGTTATAATAATGCTTCTCTTAATATTTGTGTACAGGTTTCGAAAAAATTGACATTGATGATTTTTGCTAGTGTTTTCATTTTTTAGATGAATGAATTGTTACGGGTCCTTACCATGCCATTCTTCAGAGTGATTGCCTCTCTTCCTCTTATCTTGCCCTCTTTTCCCTTGTTGACCATGGACAGTAATAGAACTAGATAATCCCAGCTACCCTGAACCAGTTACTTCTGCACTTCTACCCAGAATATAAGCTATCTTGTAATAACCCAGAAGTTAAAATAATTTTGTGTACTGTTGAAGTAAGCTAAATATTTGCAAAACTCAGGAAATGTTTTATCTTTTTTAGCTCAAAGATCTAAATTTACTTGATCGCTGTATAAAAGAAACATTAAGACTTCGACCTCCTATAATGACCATGATGAGAATGGCCAAAACACCTCAGGTGAGTCTCTTGGCTAGATCTCCCCTTTCATGCCTCCTGTTTTTATTTATCAAAAAGAAGAAATACTATAACATGGAAGAGAATTTTTTAAATTAAACAAGTAGAATAATCACTTCTGCATGATTTTCAATTTTACATATTCTAAATATATAAATATTTTTATGTAATTGCAGACAGTATACATGCTAGTCTGTTCCCTGGATTTTTATTTAACAATTAGGGTTTTTTATATGACAGTGTGTTTTTTCCTGGTTTTAAAAATAACATATGTTTTGTGTAAAAAAATTCTACCAGTATGGAAGTGTATAAATTGGATTGTGAAAGGCTCCTTGAAATCCCACGCCTACCTCTGAGGCATTGATACTTTTTTTTATTTGTGTATATACTTCCAGCCCAATGTTAGGTCACTTGGAAATCATCTTGAGTTAAAATAATTTTTAGTTGGCCTGTCATCTAGCTAGTTTTTAAATATATGTATATCTCATGCATATTAATACTTTATTACACAATGACCTGATTAGTTGGTAGAATATTTTTATATTATCTAATGAAAGATGTTGCTTTCATTTGCAGACTGTGGCTGGGTATACCATTCCTCCAGGACATCAGGTGTGTGTTTCTCCCACTGTCAATCAAAGACTTAAAGACTCATGGATAGAACGTCTGGACTTTAATCCTGATCGCTACTTACAGGACAATCCAGCATCAGGAGAGAAGTTTGCCTATGTGCCATTTGGAGCTGGTAAGATGATTAAATTTTGCATTTGAAAAGTTTGTTCTGATGACATATTTGTGCCTGTCAAAGTAATCCATGTGAATTTTATTTACAAATATCTTTTCCTTTCCTCAGAGTGACATTCCTGCAAATATTTGTAGGAGTATAATCTTTGCAAGTTGGAAAAAATACTGCATTTATACTAAAGGAAATAGTTCTGTGAATCCTTATATAATGCTCTATTACCTTCTAACGTATCTAGTTTTATCAGGTCTAATTTTTATAGTCTACCCTGTTGTCCCGTATAATAGTATTTAAAGCTCTTTTGAATTCTGTTTTAAAGAACATTGGAGTTAGCACACCATTCAGGCAATTATTTCAGGATAAATATGATAACAAATTTTCAGCATTTCAGAAGAGAGCAAAGGCAGGCTTTTTATTTAAAATGAAGCTTTTCTGGATTGTTAGTCAACTTTTTGGTTCTCTATATTCTTTTGATGAAATGGTCTTTAAATTTGGGCAGGTTGTGCATAGGTTTGTAAATCTCTGCATTTCAATTAAGATCCTAAAATAATGCAGGCAGACCCTTGTTCCTTTAATAATTTCTCTCTTCATTGGTATTCTGTACAGATTAAACTATATTCTACAACTTCTTATTTAGTCTTTCTAAAGAGATCATTTAAGTGACATGACTTGTCATTGGTCACTCTTTTTCCATATATAAAGGAAAGTGCAAAGTCCTTTGGGAACCTCGTATCTTAATAACTTTAATAAACAAATTTAATATGGTATATGATACAACATAACATATAAAAGTCATAAATTGTTCAAACAGTTGGAAGGGACTGTAGCCCAGTTTCTGCCTGAAAGAGGAATCGTTTCTCAACTGGTAATTATCTGGCTTCCACTTAAACTTTTTAGGTAATGAGTTGCTCAGTTAGCTTCTGTGGCAGCTTATTTCATTTTTGGACAGCTCTCATTTTTAGAAACATATTAAAGCTTCAATCTGTTTCCTTTTAATATCCCATTTACAGTTAGTCCTAATTGTGGTCTCTGAAGCTATATGATAGATCTCTGAGCTGTTTGACTGTAGATACAATGTTCCCTCAAGTCTTTCTTTCATCACTATGTTAGTTTCCTAGGGCTGCTGTAACTACCACAAACCGGGTGACTGATAACAACAGACATCTATTCTCTCAGTTCTGGAGGCTGGAAGTCTGAAATCAAGGTTTTGGCAGGGTCCTGCTCCCTCTGAAGGCTCGAGGGAAGAACCTTTCCTTACCTCTTCCTAGCTTCCGCTGACTCTTGGCAGTCTTTTGCATTCCTGGCCTTTAGCTGCATCACTCCAGTCACTGCCTCCATCTTCACGTGGCCTTCTTCCCCGCGGGCGCCTCTGGGTCTTCACGTGGGCTTCTTCCCCGCGGGCGCCTCTGGGTCTTCACGTGGCCTTCTTCCCCACGGGCATCTCTGGGTCTTCATGTGGCTTTCTTTTAGAGATACCAGTCGTTGGATTTGGGGCTCACCTTAACCCAGTATGACCTCGTTTTAACTAATTATATCTGCAAAGACTGCTTTCCAAATAAGGTTACATTCTGAAATTCCAGGGGGACACTGTTCTACCCCATACACTCATCATAAATACCTCCAATTTCTTCAGTCATTCTTTTACTTTGTAATTGTGCTGTTTCTGTGTTGGTGCATATAGCATGTAGTTTAATCATTTTCTTAATATTACATTTTGTGAATCCTCAGAATTTATCTATTCTTCTGCTGATTCATAGTTAGGATACTTCTAGTTTGTTGCTATTAAAAATAATCTTTTGACTAATCTTCCTGTAAGTAAACCAAGCCTCTCCTTAGTTATTAATTTGAATATGGAACAGTGTGTAAATGCCCCTCTTAAATGTGCCTCCCAGAAGTGAGTGCAGTTATGGGCCACGCAAGCACTGTGCTAAGCCTTTTATGTTAATTTTTTCTCCATTTAATCCTCACAACCACACTATGAGGAAGGGACTATTTTATACACTTTTCAGAAACGAAAACTCGGGCTTAGTGAGGTTTTTTTCAATTCCAATAATTTGGCCTATTCTTTTTGTGTTCCCTGAAAAGCCATCTTTTGTTATTGCGCTTACTACTTTGTGGGGTTTTGGTAGGTAGGAGAGGTTGGAAGATGTTAGTTCTTTCTTGCTTACATATTTTTGATACCATCTTTTATGAAGTTTGTCTCTCTTTCTAGGTTTTGTGTATGACCTTTTAAAAAATACAAATTATATTTTCTATTAATAAATTTCTCCCATTTAATAAGAAAAATTTCAAAGTTAAAAGAGTTTTACAGTGAACTCATATATCTATTATCAAGATTGTGCCACTAACATTTTACTCTACTTGTTTCATCACATATCCATCTGTCCATCAATCCATTTACTTTTTAGATGCATTTCAGAGTAAATTGCACACATCAGTATACTTCTGTTTTTCAGCAAGCATATAATTAACTAAAGTTCAGTATTTGTTTAGTTTTCACGTAAAATTTTATAATGAAATGCTCAAATCTTAAGTCAGCATTCCTTGAGTTCTGACAAATGAATAACCTCAATTATCACTATTTTAAAAGGTTATTGCTTTCTGGTCCTATCTAAAAACCTTTGCCTAACCCCAAGTCATGAAAATATTCTCCTGTTCTTCTCTGTTAAAATTTTGTTGTTTTAGCATTTATGTTTAGGTCTATGATCCATCTTGAATTAGTTTTTGGGTATGGCGTGAGCTAGGAATTGAATTTCTTTTTTTTTCACATAGATATCCAATTATTCCATCACCATGTGTTGAAAAGACTTTCTTTTCTTCATTGGCTTGCTTTATTTTTTTTTTTTAAAGATTTTATTTATTTATTTTTTTCCCCTTAAAGCCCCAGTAGATAGTTGTATGTCATAGCTGCACATCCTTCTAGTTGCTGTATGTGGGACGTGGCCTCAGCATAGCCCGAGAAGTGGTGCGTTGGTGTGCGCCCGGGATCCGAACCCGGGCCGCCAGCAGCGGAGCGTGAGCACTCAACCGCTAAGCCACGGGGCTGGCCATTGGCTTGCTTTATTTAGCACCTTTGTTGATAATCACATAACCACAAAAGTATGTCTAGGCTCTTTTCTCTGTTCCACTGATCTATTTGTTGATCCCTTCCAGTACCACACTGTTGGTTGCTGTGAAAGGAAAAAACTCACTTTCTTCTCTACACTCTCACTCAGAACACTTTTTTTTGTGTGTGTGAGGAAGATTGACCCTGAGCTAACATCTGTGCCCACCTTCCTCTCCTTTGTATATGGGACGCCTGCCACAGCATGGCTTGATGGACGCCACGTAGGTCCGTGCCCAGGATCCACACCAGTGAACCCCAGGCCGCTGAAGTGGAGTGCACAAACTTAACCACTATGCCACTGGGCCGGCCCCATCACTCAGAACACTTTTAACATTTCTGGTCACCAAATATGTGGATATTTATCCCACACCAATTCTCTGAGGACACCAACTGGGTGTCCTATAATTCAACTGAATTCTGACACTACCTACCTGGGGTTAGCGCAGACCCCATGCATTGGTTAAAGGCTCAGTCCCACAAGACTGCTCCCCTGCCACTTCCGATGCCAGTGCCAGGCCCATGTCGTCACCTGTTCTGACCAACCAGCTATAAATTGGAAGTTGTCCTGATTCTCTCTTTGGGGTTCCCAGATTTGTTAGAACAGCTCACAGAACTCCGAAAACAGATTACTACTTTCTAGATTACCGGTTTATTATAAAAGGATACAACTCAGGAACAGCCTTATGAAGAGATGCATATGGGGGAAGGGGTGTAGAGCTTCCATGCCCTCTCTGGGTATGCCACCCTCCCAGCACCTCCGTGTGGTTCACCAACCTGGAAGCTCTCTGAACACTGCCCTCCCCTTCCCTGTACTTGAGGGATTTTTGTGGAGGCTTCATTACATAGTCATGATTAATTAAATCATTCATCATTGATGATTAATTCAACCTCCAGCTCCTCTCCCTATTGGAGGTCAGGAGGTGAGGCTGAAAGTTTCAACCTTCTAATCACATGGTTGGTTCAACCAGCTCTCATCCTGAGGGGGCTTTCCAAAAGTCACCTCATTAACACCCTCAAGTGTGGTTGAAAGGGGCTTGTTATGAGTAACAAAAGGCTCCTTGCTGCTTTCACCTTTATTGCTCTTTTCACTTAAGAAATACGAAGGGTTTGAGGAGCTCTGTGCCAAGAATGGGAGGAAGACAAAATATATATTTATTACAAATCACAATATCACAGTTGCTGTACCTTGAGTACTGAAGTCAGATTTGAAGTCGGTTTAAGTCCTCCAACTTGATTCTTGTTTTTCAAGATTGCTTTGGATATCCTAGTTCCTTTCCATTTCCATATGCATTTTAGAATCAGCTTGTCAGTTTTTCTGTGTATATGACCTTTTAAATTTTGATCTCAGTATATATTGCTATTTTGGGTTTATTAAATCCCTTTGTCTTCTATTATCTTTTAAATGGCATGAAAGTTTTGATTGGAAGGTTCATATTGACTTTAACTAGGGATCTCTTGGGACAGAAGCTAAAAATATTCTATATAGTCCCAAACTAGATTACCATCATATGTTTCAAACCTTACGTACAGTTAACCTAGACAGATGTTAAGTTTCAAAACAAGTAATTGGAAAATTCATTATACAATTATCCAAGTGCTATTTCCCCTAAAAACAGACATTGAAAATCTCCTTTATTAACTATTTACATTCTTGTTTTATGTGAAAAGAATATGTCATCTTTTTACTATAAATATTTGTATATCTGCTATTCACCTAAACTGTAGATAAACAAATTTTATCACTCCAGGCTAAAAGTGAGAAAGAATTTCAACTGATTCTTATGAAAACTTTTTTTTTTACAGGGCGTCATCGTTGTATTGGGGAGAATTTTGCCTATGTTCAAATCAAGACAATTTGGTCCACTATGCTTCGTTTATATGAATTTGATCTTATTGATGGATATTTTCCCACTGTGAATTATACAACCATGATTCACACCCCTGAAAACCCAGTTATTCGATACAAAGTAAGATCAAAATGAAAAAAGCTGCAAGGAACTAATATGTGAAACATTACTGTAAACTGCAAAAGCATTTGGAAAGAATGAAGTTAACGAAACAGTTCCTTCCCAGTGTACTCTTTTTTTGAGTGTGTAATTTTAAGACAGCCAGCTTAACTTATGGTTTTTATATTTTCTTAACTGAATGGTTCCATCAAATCTAACAGCATTTCAGACATTTCCTAATAGTTTTATGTTGGCTATTTACTCTATATGCTTTATATAAGGAAATCAAGGCAATTAGTAAAAAATTACTTCGGGGGATCTTGGTAATTAGCAGATTCTAAATAACACAATTTCTAGGTATTAAATTTAAGGGCATACATAGCTCTTGGTAAGTAAGTTCAGGGTATTCAAATCTTCGACTAGATCTGCAAGTGTAAAACCCCATAAGATAAGCTACTCGGAAGCCTTAGGTTATTTATTGGGTAATGTTTGTGTGTGTGAGTAAGGATGGGTGGGTAGGGAATAAACTCACATTTAAAGCCTTGGATAAAAGAATCCTATTAACTGTTTTGGTATGATGATACATAGCAATGATGGAGCTTTGTTGTAGAAAAATATGTCCTTTGAAATTTTAATTGGAAGCACTATCTATAGAAAATTGAGAGAGATCTATGCCAATGACAATTATAGTTCCTAAAATATAGTGTAATTATTAACACTAAAGATTGCTCATGTAATGATCTAATTACTAAATATTATATATTTATCTACTGATAAATGTGTGTATGTGGTTCCACATGGTCACATCTGTATGAAAGTCTAAAATAAAGTCCTTAAGGGATAATATTTGTTCTCTTTGGCTCCAGGTGGGTTCCCTGCCTCCTCTCCAGAATCTAATTAGGGATGTTTCTGTTACTAGTTCTGTTTTATTAAAACTTTAGGTTAACAAGCTTTTTCTGTTTTTGATACAAAATCTTTGATCAGGGAACTCTGGCTTTAAGATAAGGGTAATATGAAGCAGGGTCCTTGGGAGTAGTGTCTTTGGACAAATTCTGTGAAGCCTGTGTTCAAGAATCAACTTAACTCAAATTATAACTGGAGACCTGACTATATTACTACCTATAATTTGACCACATAGTTTGTTATTACTAGATGAAGCCAACATATTTTCCCTTATGTATATTACAGTTCGGTTTAAGGGGCTGGAGGACTCATGTTAAACTCTATTTCTGAAGGCAAAATCTCTGCTGTTAAGAGTTTTTCACATTAAAATTATCTTTGAGAATAATACAGTCTGTATTCACAAATTATAAAGTATGTGTGCTTCAGTGAGTAAAATTCAGGAATCTAGGAACTTGCATGGGGGAAAAAATTCCATCTTTATTTTTACTAATTTCAAAGTGTAATTTAATATTTTCTTTATGAATTTAGGCAACAAACCACGCTAGTATTAGCAGTACCCATAATTTTGTGAACAGAAATCACAGATATTTTCATATCACATTATAGGTGTTGTAGATCTCTTGAGATACCTTTTACTCTCATCACTACTTTGAAATTATAGTAGTTATTAGACCTACTGATAGATCTTATTTCTTTAATCTTTTATATATTAATCACAAAAATTTTAAAGTTTGACTATTTCTATGAAATTGGGTTCTTTTGCAATCCTATATATTTTATCTCTTCAAAAGCATTCTGAGAAGGGATCCATAGTTTCACAAGACTGCTAGAGAGGTTCATGGCACAAAAAAGTTAAAACCCTGAGGTAAGGCAAGTCTATGTTTAGTGAATAGTTTGAGACTTTAATAGATTTAGTTTTTAATCATAGACTAATTATTGATAAGCATTAACAAGTCTGACTGCAGAGACTTAATGTCATGCGGTGGGCTGATGGTCAGACAGTGAGGGTCAAATGAGATTGATCAGAGCACTTGTCCATCTGCTCTCTCCATTCTCTCTCACAGCAGACTGGCATGATCAGCAAGCTATGCTAGCTAAAAAAGGTTTTTACCCACAACCATCCAGTTAGGGGACCCCTTCAACTAACTGCTTTAGAATACATTTGTTATTTCTAGAACTCCTCTTATTGGAATGTAGCTGCGAATATGGAACATTTGGGTAATTTGAAATCTCTAAGAATGTAGAACTTGCTACCATAGCCTGTTTGTGTTGATATAAATCATAGCATATCCAATGTTAAGACAAAATCCTATGGATATAAGCATCAAATACTACTCTTGCTGTTTTAGTGAGCTGCCATGTTATCAGGGACGACTCTAGTTAAGAGATAACATTAAGATTTATATTATCTTTGTGAGAGCTTCCCAATCTGAATTTGGCTTGGACAGCAGGAATACTGCTTAGTTCTGTTGCATTGTGGTTAATAAAATTTAAGATTCTTTGAATTAAATGATTTTTGCATCATTTTAGTGAGCATGGCTTTATCAGGACACACCTATGGACACAAGTAACACTAAATATGATAGGGCAAATACAGATCAATCATGAAAATACCAATATAGCTTTCAAAAAACACTATGTGTAGACGTAAAGTTGATACAAAGGCACATGGAAAACTTCCTCAGTGGAGGGAAAGAAAAATTCCAATGGTATCTAAGATTATGACAAGTTTCTGAATCTCTAAATCCTACATATTTGAGGATTTAGATCATAAGTAATGAGATGATATGCACTGTCATAGACTGTGTGCCCCCATAAAATTCATATGTTGAAACCTAATCCTCAATTTGTTGCTATCTGGAAGTGGGGGCCTTTGGCAGGTGATTAGGTCATAGGGGCAGAGCTCTCATGAATGAGATTAGTGCCCTTAGAAAAGAGACCTCAAGGAGCCATATGAAGACAGCAAAAAGAAGGCAGTCTATGAACCAGAAAGCAGATCCTCACCAGACACCAAATCTGCTGGTACCTTGATCTTGGACTTCTCAGCCTCCAGAACTGTGAGAAATAAATTTCTGTTTTTTATAAGCTACCTAGACTAAGGTATTTTGTTACAGCAGCCTGAACAGACTAAGGCATGCTCCAAGAATTATGGCTCAGTTAAAAATGAAGAAGGTTCAGATACAGTGTGGTTAAAATGGTGAAGTCATTTTTATTTCAGTACTTGACAAAATACCCCGTAAAATTCAAAACTTCTACCATTATACAAAAATAGGTCTCTACAAGTGATATTATCTGTCTTCATCACCAGTAGCAAATATATTAGGCAGAAACATGTAACTTCAGTAGCCTTATAAGAAAAGTGCTGGACACCTCAAGCTACACATTCAGCAGTATCCTAATGCGCAAAAGTTGAATCTTTTCACCCATTCGATAAATACACAAAGTTTATAATTTAATCATTTAAATTAGCATTCCACAAATATACATGTAATTGAATGATTTCTGTGCATGAATACATACACAATGCTTATATGTACAAATTCCAGTTTGTTTTCATGTGCTGGCAAGGCATTGGTATACAATCATAAGCTGTGTTCGTACTGGTCCCAGTGAATATTCACAATACAAAAGCACAAAAGAACCATTGATTTATAAAAGGGAATTTGTTTAAAATCACTTCGATTCATGATGTTTCAAAGAATTATCTTCTCATGCCAGCATGAAACTGAGTTGAACCTATGAGAAAAATACAGGATATTTCAATGGCTTCAAATTAGATTGCTATTTATACCAGACTAACTAGTTCATGAAGAGCAGAAGATTATTATTACCCTCCATTTTAAAAACATGCTTTTTATTTTTCTAAAAAAGTTTTATTCATACTTGAAGTGATTTTTAACAGAGATTGTGAATATAAATTTAAGAGTCACTGTAGCTGGCTCTCTAGCAGGGTAAGTGAAACTAATGTTAAAATTCTCTCTCAAGTGCCCTGCAGGTTGAAGGGTCTGTATCTCCTGCCTCTTGAAAAATCTTTTGGTCTTCAAAATCTGGGTCTTGTGAAATCTGGATGCTCAAAACAAAAGACAAACCAAACCAAATCAAACCAAACAAATTCCAGCTATGATGATAAAAGTTTCCTGTGACTATAAGTTGCCTAGGTTAGCTGATTTCTTACATGAAGGGATAAACTACTAACAAAATAACCTGCTATTAGCCATATCTAGTTTGTGGGAATAGTAGAAAAAGGGTCTTTAACAAAAGTAAAAACAAAACATAAAAGTTGACTTAAAGCACCTTAAATTAAAATAATTCAAAACCTTTGAATGAAGAGTGAATTGAAGGGAGACGGGGAAAAGAGGTTTTCCCACAATGAACAGGGAATCCACTTATTAAGTATGAAATTTTTTGTGTGTGTTTTTGAGCAGAGAAAAATAAAAGATCATTCTTAAAAAGTCTTTTGAATGGGATGGTTTCTTGGATCATACATAAAAGCACAAGGTTCTAGCAGGGATAATGGCTGCATTAAGTGCATAAAGTACTTGCTTCCTCCTCTCATCTCCACACCCCTTATTTGCAGGCCTCACCATGTATTACTTAGGAACATGTTCTCCAGCAGAATCTGTAACCCTCAGAGTACTTTGCACGTTGATGCTCATTGTGAAGTTCGTCTAATCAATCTGCTGAATGAAGATAGCAAAGAATCTTTTTTTGGGGGAGTGGGATTCAGGGTGATAAATCAGGTCTTGACTTAAATTCCTGAGTCTAACCTGGTAACTCATGCACTGAGCTGTAAGATTTGATTATCCTAATGAGGAAGGTCAAGGAGTTTCAAAAAGAGCAAGGAGAGCTTTGGGTCTATCTAGCACTATGTATGGTGCTGCCAATACAAGGTTAAGCTGAGAGTACCTGACTGTACAGTTCCAAGTCGTCTTTGCAGCGCCTCTAGCCGAGTGATATAATCTGTCAGGGCTCTGTCAGGATCATAATTCTGAAGCTGAGAACATGCTAAGGAACCAGGATTTAAATCAGCTGGAGGGCCGGGGTACCTATGAGATTAAAAATATGAACATGAATCTAAATTAGCCAGAAACAATGCAAGTAACTTACCAACCTGCCTCCACCCTGCCCTCAAAAGGTAGACCACTTGTACACCGCCTAGTCTATATCCCCCATACTTCTGAGTGTGTGATGTATAAAGGAAAAAACTCTCCAATAAATTCAGAGCAGCTACTAAGTCATCATAAGAATGTCCCATGCAATGCCTGTTGCAGAGGTTCTCAATAAATGCTGCATATGTATAAATGCATCTTGTCATGCAGACTCTATAGTTTTTTTCATAATGTCAGAGACTATCAATTTTAGTTAATACTTTTCCCAATGTTTAACCACAGCATATACTGTGATCAAGTACCAGTTGATCAAATGTTTCCTATACTCTTGGAAACCAGTTACAAATTCAAAAACTATTTGATTTTGAGCCTTAGATTATGTAAATCATACATAACTAAAGATACATCTAGCTATTTCAATGCAAAGACGTCAAAGCCCTAACACTGTCCTTTCTAAGTATTAGTCCTATTAGTCCTTTCTAGTATTAGTACTTAACTACTCTAGGCAGGTTTTATCAAATTCTTACCTATTTTGAAATGGTACAGGAGACCTAGGATAGTCCAGGTCTGATCTTGAGCGATATGTAGTGTGTCTCGGTTCTCCATACAGCTCCAGCCCACCAGAAGAATGATAAAACGGGTCAGTCTTTTCAGCACCTAAAGTAATCCAAAATGTACCTTGTAAAGAAAAAAAATACCAAGCCCTTGAAAAATTTCTACAAAACAGAAAAGGGCTCAAAAGACTGCTATACTGTACTACACTACACTGTCTCCTATTTATAGTCATTTTCAATTACTCTCGCTAGAGGAGAGAAATGACAGCACCATGTTATTTTGTTTACTTTTGAATATGAGTATTTCTGATAATTTGGAACTACACTTCATAGAAAATAAGCTATTTAACTAGAGTATTTTCTTTTTAAAAGATCTCTATTTATAACCAGAGGTGAGGGGCATCTGAGTGTGTGTGGTTTGGGGGAAAAGATGATATGGATAAAAAATATTAGACTAATGTAACCAAGTACTTTTATCACTCCATTCTACTGACTTTTATTAGAAAAAACTTGAAATCAAGATTTGCTAACTTACAACACAGAACTTGTCATGGTACACATTTCAGCTGTGGCAGTGTAAGGGCGCAGATTTCAAAACATTTTGTTTAGGATACCAAATATATTTACTCTTTCTCTGCTGCTCAGCTACTGATAGAATATATAAAGGTGGTTTAATATCAATAAACATCACAGTTATGCTGTGTGTCTATAACTCTGTGCTCCCCAGCTTCTGACCTCATCCTTATGCCTGAAATGTTGAAGCCCTAATGTGTGTTTCCACTTCTGGGTGCAGAGAGAAAGAATTTTAACTGTTACCATTATTATATAACCTACCGGTAAACCCAGAAACCTGTCTGAATATTGTTAAATTGTGAAAACCTCAAGCCATAACTTCCACATGATTGACTAACAGCAATCCTCTCTTGACCCAGAGCCTTACATATAGATGTAAGGTGAGTGCTCTCTGGTGCCAGAATGCCAGGGTTCGATGCTGGCTCCACCACTTCCTACTGGGTGATCTGGGGCAAATGACAAATGCTTTCCATGCCTCAGTTTTTCATCTGTAAAGTGGGAATAATAGTAACTGCACCTACAACATAGGATTTGGAGAATACATGGAAAAAGCAGGGCCTAGTGCAGACCCAGTGCTCTATAAAAATCAATTTTTATTACTTTTTAAAACAGCAAGGTCCCCAGCTTTGTTAGTTATAGGGCTCTGTCTTTGGACAACACAGGTTCCAGAACACATTTTGAAGGTATTACACATGCAGTAATTTTAGAGAATCATAAACATAATAAAAAATTCTATTTTGACTTCACCTGGATTCAGTCCAAAGCCATCCCTGTTAATGTTGATGGAACCAGAACTTGTGACTCGATGCCATCGTCGAACCAAAAATTTCATTCTAAAAAAGATCCCAAGAAAAAATTTCACACCACACCTATAAGTAACGAGTATAAATCTCATATAAATTCCCATAAAAATCAAGTTATACATTTTAATATGAACACAGAACATGTTTCAATATAATCACATGATTGCCTAATAAAAACTATGCAAATGTCCCCTGGTTTGTGGCAAAATTAACTAGAACAGAAGAACAGTGCTTCCGAAGAGGCACCAGAAGTCTCTTCTTTTGCCAGCACCAGGTTCTGGCTTTAGACATGGGACACACAGAGATGGAGAGCAAAAGAGAAAAGTGGATGGGCAAAGAAAGGGCGAGAAGTAATGAAAAGAGTAGAAAAGAATGGAGACTAAAAGGGCAGATGAGATTGAAAGAGAATAAAAAGACCCTTAAATTGGCAGTAAGAGTGAGCTGGGAAAGCTGGAAGGGGAGTGAGGTCATGTAATCAGGGATGAAAAACAACGTTGGCTTCAAGAGGAACAGGGGTGGCTGTGTCGCAAACCAGCTGTAGTGAGCTACTGCCTGCCCTGTCCTGGCTCAAGGAGCTTTCTGGAGCACCAGTTTGGATTTCTTAATTCCAGTCAGTTTTAAGGCTGTCTGAGGGTCAAAATACAATGAATGTATAAGAGGACAAGAAAAAGAGAGAGGTAGAGACAGAGGCAACTGGCTTGCATGGAGCCTTCCCAAATCCCTCCAATCAAAATTAATGGCTAACTCCTGCGACCTCTTATTTAGTGTCTTCTAAGTCACGTGCACATTTGTTTTCCCTACTAGAAAGTGAGCTGCCTTTAGGGATTTGGGCAGGGATTATCTTTGGCAGGATATGTCTTTTTCTTCATCAGTGCATCTCCTAGCACTTAACCCTGTACGAGGTGACGAAGGGAATGAAAGACAAGGGAGGAGGAACTAGAACCCCAAGACAACAATGTGGAGTAGCAGAGGCGAGCAGGGTCTAAGATCATCAGTAAGATAAAACGTGAGCTCCCTTTGGAGAGCCAACATGGATGAGATTGGGAGCCCTGGCTGATTGTCCTAGCTCTGTCACTACTGGCTTTGCAACCTCTCCCTGCCTCAGTTTTCTCATCTGTGAAATGACATTTTGGACTATTAGTAATTCCAGTTATTTTAGTAATGAAAATGAATGTATTCAGCCTAAGTAATTTTTCAAAAACATTTTTTCCCCCTCTTATGATTTCTTTTATTTATACATCTGAACTAGTTCATGGGCTTAATCAGATTTAAAAAAAAAAAAAGACAATACAGATTGGATGTGCCAGCTTGGAGTCACCAGCTGCCTGCACCTGGGAAGGCCCTTTTCATAGGTCACTATAGTACAACATAAGTATCCCTGCTAAGATGATGAAAATCTAGAAAGCAGCAGGCATGTTTTGGTAATGGCAGATGTCTCCTACTATAGGCATACAGAGCACAACAGGCAGAGAAAAGAGAGAGGATTAAAAATAATCCCTTTAGCTGTTAGTACTGTAGAGTTGATTCCAAACCCTAGTGACCCTGTGTACAGCAGAGTGGAACCCTGCCAGGTCTTTTCGTGTCATCCTCTCACCTTCCAGCACTATATCAGATAATGCTCTGCTGCTGTTCATAGGGTTTTCATGGCCAATTTTTTTGGAAGTGGGTGGCCAAGTCCTTCTTCCTAGTCTGTCTTAGCCTGGAAGTTCTGCCGAGACCTGTCCACCGTGAGTGACCCTGCTGGTATTTGAAATACCCGTGGCATAGCTTTCAACATCACAGCAACATGCAGCTGCCACAGTATGACAGCCGATAGATGAGTGATGTGGTTCCCTGAGTGGGAAACAAACCCTGGTGCGGCAGTGCGAGTGCCGAATTTTACCACTAGACCACCAGGGCTGGCTAATTCTTTTAGAGAGTCTATTAAAATGCGCTTTCTTTTAAGTACTTTACCTCGAAATTGCCATGGACACTCTGACAGCCGACCGAAACCTGGTGAAGCCCTTCGGACGGTTGGTGATCACCTCCAGATCTGTGAAGGCTGGCTGCCCCCCCATCCGGGCAAGCAGAGCCAGGGTGGCATCTTCACATTCCTGGAATCCACCCAGTAACAGCAGCAGGTATTTCTTCTGATAAATGAGAGCTTTCCGAAAACTTTCTGCTCTCAGGTATTTACCATATATTCTCTATGTTTAAATAAGGGAAGAATATAAAGGCATTAAGACGTTATTCAAATTGTTCTCTATGGGAAGATAACCTAGATTTTATTTAAGAATAGTAGTAGTAGTAGTAGAATGGCAGGTACCTTATCACTGGTTTCTACTTTATTAGCAAAGTTGAAAGTAAAGATAATTAACCTTAACCTCTATACTTCTACCTCTTCTTAGTCAATGGCACTGAATATTAACCTTATAGTTATGATTTTTGCTTATTTTGGATTTTAGCCCTTATTCATCATATTTATTGCAAATATTTTTCTCATTCCATTATCATCTGAGATTTTTTTTTAATTGTATAGAGCTACTTTTATTATTATGGTCACTAATCTATTTAACTTTTTCAATGTTAATGTTTTCTGTCCCTTTAAGAGTCATAAATTTCTGTTCACTCCACAGTTGGAATAAATATTCCAAACATTTCTTTCTTTTTGTTTTTTAATGTTAACTGATTAAGCTAGTTTTACTACAATAATCATTATTAGTCATGAGGCTATTCAGAGGGCTCACCATCGTACAGAGTATGATGCTCTAATATTGACAGCAGTTGAGCTTTTGTTGGGGTTTGAAAAGGCAACTTTCTGTTGGTCTACTAAGAATGAGGCTGTGGGGAAGTGGGACCATGAGCTCAGGGTGCTGCCAGTGTGACCATTAAGAGGGCTTAATCTGGTCCCAGACCTGGGGCATGCCTCGCCACAAATTTTTTGTGACCAGCTAGAGGCCTGCATTCATGACATAGACTGAATAGGGAGACCTAGAGACAGCCTGAGCACCACCTAAATTTCTGTAGTTTGCTCAATTAAGGTTAGTGACAGATGAACCAAGGCAAAAGCAGAGGACCAGCTTCGGCGTATATTTAGATGGAAGATGTCTCCTACCTTTATGGTGGCATGCTCAGAATCAGGGCTCAGATTCTGAAGTAAAGCTTCATTTCTTAGTTCAGCTTTCAGTTTGTACACTTCAGCTTCTGCCCTTTTCAAGGATTTTTGGAGGGTCAACTTTTCTCTGTTCCAGACTTCTTTTTCGGAAGCAATGATGGCTTCAATGTCGGCGCCACCACTGAATGAAAACCTAGAAGACTGTATAGACCAGAGCCTACTTACAAGATTTTTAAGAACAAGTCTCTGAAAAAAAAATTGAATTAAATATATTAAAGGTATCTCTATGGGGGATACAGAAATCGCAGCTTTCCAACTTCAGACAGGGAAAATTCAAAGCCAATCTCAACTGACATTAAAGAATATACATTAACTTTAAGTATATGGTCCTTTGCTGAGCAGATTAACTTTACAACTAAAAATCCTTGTGAAAGCCTGGCCCCAGAGAAGGTATTTAGATTTAGCAGAACTTTGAACTACAAAAGTCTAGAGACTTAATAGATGGACCATCTGGATCCAAATGTTGAGCCTGTGCCTGAAACAGGGCACTGGAGAAGTAGGGAGAAAAACCACCCGCATGTACATAGGGAAGTGGATCACTACAGAAGCTGTGGTGATGTGTTATCATGTATTTGATCGCCCAGTTGTCTTTAGGCCTTCCCTATCTTTGTATTGCGTGATTACAGGAGCTAGCAATTTATTTTGTAGTTTTTACATGAAAAAAATTTAAATAAATTCCCAGAGTAGTTTGACTGAAATACATAATTTCATGGCATCTTTCACTTGAGTTATGAACACAGTAACAGATAAATAACTGACGAGCACAGTCACAATTTACATTTGAACATTTCTTTACATGTATCTGCTATTAGTCCATAGGCAGCAAAGTATCTGGCTTTGGAGATAAGTAGATCTTGGTTTGACTACAAACTTCAGCTTTCTCATTTGCAAGGCTGGGTGTGGATTGGCGATTCTGAAAGTACATAAGCCAGAATCTGGCACAGAGAAGGCTCCCAATAAATAATAGCTATTATTATTATTGTCATCCCTACAAAATTTTCCAATGATCTTACTAAGAATCAGATACTTAATACTTTTACATTATCAAGGTTAAAAATTGAAACTAAATAGCAGAAATTATAACTGTACACTACTCCTAACATGTAGCCATGCTAAAACAGACGTACATGATCTCTGCCAGCTCCTGTCTGCCGATACCATCTGACCTGCTCTTCCAGTTTCATAACCATGTTTCTTAAGTCATTCTTTTCTTCGGTCAGTTGGCTGATATGTCCTGTCAGCTCAGCATTTTGTCTCAGTAGTCTTTCAGTCAATGAGCCACAAGAAGTACTTGGGGACACTAAGCTAGACTAGAAAGACAAAATGGCATCAAGTCACATAATGCACAAATGTTTGTGAATAATGCATATAAAAATGTGGACAGGCACTGAGAGCAACAGATTTCATGAAGAAGTGATGCTTGAGTTGAGTCTTAAATAATGAGTAATTTACCAGGCAGGAAAGAAAATAGGGAAGGGCATATTAAGCAGAAGGAACAGCATGTGTAAAGGCACAAAGGCTTGAGCAAGAGTATGTTGCTTTTAGGGAACTACAAGCTGCTTGGTAAGGCGAGAGAGTAAAGGTTGCCTTCACTTTACGGATAACAGACCTAAATGTAGGCAGTGGAGAGCCATGAAAGGCGTTAGGCAGGAGCACGCCACAAACAAAATTTATGTGTTAGAAAGATTCCTTTGGTAGCAGTGTGCAAAGTAGAGTAAATTAGGGAAGACAGATCCTGGAGTCAGGCAGACGAGTTATGAAGTTATTGCAACAGTCCAGGTGAGAAATGCTGAAGGCCTGAATGAAGGCAATGACTAAGGGCACATAGGATAGATATTTCAGAGGTCGAAGGCACAGGACTTAGTGAGTGCTTGGATGTGCAAGTAAGAATGAAGGATGGTGGTCTATGGTGACTTTCAGCTTTCTAAACTGGGTGATATCATGACCAGAAATGTGGGTTTGGGACAGGAAGGAGAAAAGGAAGATGATGGTCAGTTTGCAATGTGCCTGTGAGGTTCCTAAGGGGTCACTATGGGGTTCATTTCCCCAAGGAAAGATGTCTAGTAAGTAATTGAAAATATAAACCTGGACTACAGGACAAAAGTCTAGACTAGAACCACAGTCCACTAGGAGATAAGCTCCATAAGGGTGAGATTTTTATCAGATCTGTTCACTGTATCCCCAGAAGCCAGTATAGTACCTGGCACATAGTAGGTGGGCAATATAAGTATTTGTTCAATAAATAAGCCTAGTGGGAACTCAGGCTGTGGGAATGAATGAGCTGTTATAGTTAGAGAAAAAAATGGATGAGGATAGGAGGAAGAGGAACTCATAAAGATGACTGATGAAAGAAATGGAAGAAATGAGAGAATACTGATATAAAAGGTAAGGAAAAAGAGGATTTTTAAGATAGAAGAGGTCAGGGCTGGCCCCGTGGCTTAGTGGTTAAGTGCACGTGCTCCGCTGCTGGCGGCCTGGGTTTGGATCCCGGGCGCACACCGACGCACCGCCTCTCCAGCCATGCTGAGGCCGCGTCCCACATACGGCAACTAGAAGAATGTGCAGCTATGACATGCAACTATCTACTGGGGCTTTGGGGGAAAAATAAATAAATAAATAAAATTAAAAAAAAAAAAAAAAGGTAGAAGAGGTCAAAGTGTCAAATGCTACAAAAAAGTCAAGAAAGATAGGGACTGAAAAAATTCACCAGATTAGTTAATTGTGAAGAAACTAGTAGCATTCTGAGGGTGGTTTCACGGAGTGGTGAGGATAGAAGCCAGACAACTCTTTCAAGAAACTTGGTTACCCTAATACATAAGAGGCTAATATAATTATTCAATAATGATAATGAAAGTTAATTTTCCCTCAAACTTACACTATCTTCTATTGGGGGAAGGCAAACATTATTACTAATATTTAAAATAAATGAAAAGATAAAATTATTTAGAAAATATAGTAGTCTTCCCTTATCTACGGTTTTACTTTCCACAGTTTCAGTTACTTGCACTCAACTGTGGTCTGAAAATATTAAATGGAAAATTCCAGAAATAAACAACTCATAAGTTTTAAATCACACGCCGTTCTGAGTAGATGATGAAATCTCATGCCTTCCCGCTCTGTCCTGTCCAGGACGTGAATCATCCCTTTGTTGCCTCCCTAACCATCAACACTGTCTGCTCCTGACATCCAACCATATACGTCGTCATAGACGGGTGATCCTCCTTCTGACCTATTGTCAGAAGGTGAATAGTAGCCCAACACTACGTCACAATACCTATATCATTCACCTCACTCTATCTCCTCACGTAGGCATTGTATCATCTCACCTCACCACAAGAAGGGTGAGTACAGTAAGGTAAGATATTTTGAAAGAGAGACCACATTCACATCATTTTTAAGGTATATTGTTATAATTATTCTATTTTATTATTAATTATTGTTGTTAATCTCTTACTGTGCCTAATTTATAAATTAAACTTTCTCATAGGTATATACGTATAGGAAAAAACATAGTATATTAGGGTTCAGTACTAGCCATGGTTTCAGGCCTCCACCTGAGGGTCTTGGAACGTACCCCCTGCAGGTAAGGGGAGACTAGAGTATGGTGCCAGTTTCAAATGATTCATATAGTTTCCATTAAATCTTTGCTTTTCGATACTTTACAAAGAGTTTTTAAAAAGTCTTACCTCTTCGCCTGGCTGGCCAGTTAATTTTTGTACTTGTAAAATAATCCCATCAATATTTTCCTGAACCCAAATGAAATCTTCATCATCTGCTGTTTCAAACTGTAGTCTTCAAGAAAAAGACAAAAAGTCAAATTATCTTCTCAATTAGCAGTGCTGACTGGCACAAACACTAAGGATCAGGCGACACTCTGCTTCACCTATCACTTCTCCCTTACATTAAGTGTTCTCTTTCCCTGGGTGAAGGTGTTAAGATCTATGTTTTCAGGTGTATGAGTTTTGTTAAAGAATATCACCTTCTAATGTAAACACGCATTAACTTTAAAATTTCAATTCCCCACCCTTGGCTACTTATTAGTGAGGGACAGATTCTGTCCAGCTTGGCTAAGAGTGCCATTTCCAAAAGTCTAACCTGTTGGAGGCTTTCTGGGCTAGATGCTGTAGTTTTGAAGTCACATGTTGAAGCTTTTGTCTGATCATTTCTAATTCCTGATTATAGCCAGTTCCTCCTCCATTCATTTCAATCAGTTTAGCATAGCTTGATTCCTTTGTCTCTCCTTCTATTTTCTGTTGAAGAACCCAATTTCTAGTTCGATCACTGGTTAAACTCCACGTGGTTGGCTGGCAGTTTTGGACAGAAAAAGCAATAATTAAATGAACAGCAAATGACATTCTTTCTTAAGGGAACACAATTATTGTTTATATTCCAAATAAACTTCTATAGATTTCATTTTTAAATGATTTGTACACAGCTGTTTAAATAATTTAATCCAATACCAAAATTATACGATCAAAGAGCTGCAGTATTCTTGTAAAAAATATTTTAAAACAAAGTGGCAATTTACCTCATTAAGATTTTGACACAGCATTCTTCTACTTTCTCGTTTTTCTTCCCGTTCTAGTTCTTGCTTCTGGAATTCCTGCATAATTCCTTGCAGTCGCTTTCCTTCAAGGTCTAACTTATAAACTTGTTGCCTTTTCTCTTCCAGCTGACGCTGAAGATCTTCCACTTTGGACTGGAGCTCGTGCATTTTTTTCTGCCCCTCAGTGTTGGCCTCTTGCTCTGTCTGTAATGTCTTCCTGTGAACCTGCCTATCCTTTTCCATTTGCTGTCTTGCTTGCAAAGAATCCAGTTTATATTTCTCAGTCTCAGTTAACAATTCTACTATGCGACTGTGTTTCTCCTCTAGCTGTTTCTGTAGCTCCTTAAGGAGGTCCTCAGAGGGTAAGGAGGGCCGAGGCTGCCCACCATCATCACTGCTCTGCAGCTGTGCATGCAATTCCCGCTCCCTATCCAGGGTATTACTCATTTCCCGAATTCGAACTTTCTCGGATTCAAGAAGTACTTGAAGCTCTAAGTTTCGACCTCGTTCTTCTGATAACTGGGCATCATGTAGCACTCTTTGTGATTCTATTTTCTGCTGTGATTCGTTTAGTAGTTGTTTCTGTTGTTCCAAAAGTAGATTTAGCTGAATATTTCTTTGTTTCTGACTCTCAAGTGAAAATTTCAGATCCTTGTAGGAGAAAGTTGAGTTCAAGAACTTGTTAATATTATTAAAAGTACTTTATAATATAATTATGCCTTTATTAATATTAAGTTGGTAGTATTTCGTAACAGAATTGATTATCCAGTTTCTTAACTAAATTTTCAGTGGCTAGAGCATAATTATTTGGACCGCCAGTTGATTTTCATCAAGAAATATAAATAAAAGATAACTAAGCTAAACAATACTTTCTCCCCAAACATTAATTATAACTGATTAAGGAATATGAAGCAGGGTACATTTCTCCTAGGAATAATAACCTTTAAAAATACAAACATTTCTGACATAATATGACAGGAGTTCTTGAAAAACCTGAAGTTTTGCCATATCACATACTAAAAATAATAAGGCTCAGGGACAAACTACTCAAAACCTATACAAATTTGTAATGATAAAAAATAGTAATTAGTATCTGAGAAGATAACATGCTCCTGCCGGGTAGAGAGCTTACTATGCCTGGAAGCTGCCATGGTGGACATTTAAAAAAAAATTAAAAAACCCCGCAAAAGTAATAGGGCAGAAATGCTGGCTACACATTTTTTTCAGCATAGATCTAGCAGGTACCCAGATTACGTGGCTAGAAAATGAGCTCTGAGCCAGTGAGGCTGCCGTTAAAGTGGGCACTACTCTCCTGAGCTGAGAGCTGTGCGAGGCTGGGATGTGCCTCCCTGGGAGAGAGCCCAGAGTGAAGGGACTCATTTAAAATTTTCTTTCGAGCAGGAGGGACCCCTGCTGCCAGGAAAGTATCACTCTTCCCTAGGAGAAAACAGGAACCAAAACTACTTCTGCATTGAACTGACATGATTGCCCTATTTATCAAATTGTATGTGCACTAATTTGAATTCCCAAAACACATGTTGTTGCAGAACAGTCTGTATGCATCCTTGGGTGTAGTAAAAAAAAAAATAAATCACACCGTTAGCATTTCCTCATAATACAGTTTAGATAACATTAACAGGATTCAACACATAGTTCACAACTGATTGTTACCTCATAAAGAGTCTCAGGTTGACATTTGAGAAAGAGGAGTCTCCAGACTCGCTCTCTTCTACTGTTTTGGATTTTCCACAGACATTTAAAGACAAAGATGACAATACCTCAAGTTCTTCTTTATCCCGCTCTTCACTGCGTCCCAGTTTGGCTTTCTCTTTCTCCAAAGCCCACTGGAGCTCTCTGGACTTTTTCTGTTCACTTGCTAATGTGTCATTAAGCAAATGTACTTCATCTGTTTTGTCTTTAACTTCCAACCTAAATCAGAGACAAATGAACTTGCATAAAACTAGTCTGACCAAGTGCATATTGAGAGAGAAAGAACAGTTTCCACTGAAAAGTAGAGGCATATTATAAATTAGCTAATAGGAAAATATAAACCATGTACAGATTAAAGATTCTTGACTGTGGTTCATTTCAAATTGTTTCTAGTAGTACAACTATTAGTTATTATTTACCACTGCAAATAATTTATTGCTACAAAATAATATTAATACTAAAAACTTTCTTTTCTCTTTTACTGAACATGGGAATCACCATGTATGTTTGTGTGTGTGAATCTAATGTTCAAAATAAAGAGTGACTGTACCTGTAACGTGTCCTTGACAAGCAGTGTATCTCAGTATTTACACTGACCAATTTATCCTTTTTACAAGCATTATCTTTTAAAACATTTTGCATATTTTAGCTAACTGAACTGAGAATTCTATTGAGATCATAAATATCACTTCAAATTACTTGGTGATAAAATAAAAGTCAAAATTCTATATCTTATACAACAACAAGTCTAAAATAGAAGTGAAGTCACAGTTCAGAATATAGCAATAGCTAATCATGAGTTTATCATTTGAAAAACTTGGAGGTTTTCCTCTCCACTGTAGTTTTCCCCATAAATAACAAAGTTTCATGCTATTTAAACATCATGTATAATGTTATGTTTTTGTAAGATCTAACAATGTCTATGACAAAATTACTTGAATTCCTTTACTAATACAGGTTTATAATAAGAAGCTTCCACACCTGAATGCCTCTAATTCCTTTAGGTGCTTATGCTGTGCTTTGAGTGTTGTTTCGAGTTCCAACCTAGTTTGTGCAAGTTCACTCTTCAGTTCAGCAACCACCATTTTCTCAGAACTCAGCTGTTCTTGTAATTCTGTTGCTTTGTCTTTCACACTACTGAGCTCCACTTGCATCTCCAGCATTTGAGACTGCTTCTGCTGCATATTATATTCCAAGAGTTCTAAATGGAAAAGTAATAATATTTAAAATATGATCTAGCAACTCATATTGGGTTTATATTTTGTTGATAAGAACTGATTTGTAATTTAGGAGATTACTACAAAGCAAATGTGAAAAGATTATAGTCCCAAAAGATTATAGTCCCTAGCAATTTCTATAAATACACTTTTCCTCACAGCGCTAATGGTCAAGATTTCAGAACTGTAAATATATAAGGATGATAAAAGTTTTACAGAACACATTAATGGTTATAAGACTTGAAATAAAAAAAACCTTTAAATGTTCACACAATACTATAAATAGGAGAAGCATGTATTTGGGAAGGAAGCTTCTGGGATACTTGACATGGGTGATGTTTCCACAGATATTCACTTAATAATTTGTTACACTGTGTACTTTTGCATTTTGCACTTTTCTGTATGTATGTTACAATTCACAATAAAAAAAAGGATTAAAAAAGAAACAGTTACTTTCATTGTGGACTTCTTTTTCTTTTAGGTGACTATTCTCATATAGAGCTTCAAAACAAAGAAAGATAATGAACTTAATGGGCTAAACAACCTCATCAAGGCAATGCTCATTTTAAATTCATTTTAAATTAAATGTAGGTGTTGAACACCAACTGGATAATCATTTAATCCCTAGAGTAATTAATGTAGATATCTCCTTGATGTTATGAGAATGAGAAGAAAATGTGACTAAGAGGAAATGTGTTTGAGCTGAACAACAATAATAAGGGAAACAAAGTGAAATATTATTCACGTATTTGTGTAACCATACGAGCCTGTCACATAACATACCTTGGCTTGGTTGATCATTCTCTTGTTCTCTTTTCCTACCATTCATTTGAGCATGCAGTGCTTGAATTTCAGATAATAAACTCCTTCTATCTGCTTTCTGGAGGCATTCCATAGCTGCTCGATACTCAACACCCTGTAACAATAAAAAGTAAAAATCCAAGTGAACAGATTTGTAAAGACAATAAAATGAACAACTAGGAAGTCTAAAGAAGAATGAATGGAACACACACGCTAAAATTTTGAAAGACTTTTTCTTTTTTTTCTGCTCATTAGGATTTATTTTTAGTAATTTTTACAATTATTTTTAAATTCTTCACATTTAATTCTTCATAAAACATGAATAATAATATAATAAACACCAGTCTCAGTATGTACTTAGCCTAAGAAATAGCTAAGGCTATACACAGCTAAGGCCCCCTATGTACAATTCCCTGAACATTTCCTTCTCTGCACCACTTGCTCAAGAAATAACCAAACTCTAAGTTTGGTGTTTGTTAGTTTCATGCACAAAGCATATTGCGTTACATACACACACATATCCTAAACAGGATATAGTACTGTCTTGCATTTTTTTTTTTTTTTGTGAGGCAGATCAGCCCTGAGCTAACATCCACGCCAATCCTCCTCTTTTTGCTGAGGAAGACTGGCCCTGGGCTAACATCTGTGCCCATCTTCCTCCACTTTATATGGCACGCCGCCACAGCATGGCTTGACAAGCAGTGCCACAGTGCGCGCCCGGGTTTGGATCCCGGGCTGCCAGCAGCGGAGCGACGCACTTAACCGCTACGCCACAGGGCCGGCACCTTGCATGTGTTAAAACTTTATATAAATGGGCTCACACTGTATTCACCTTTATGTCATATGCCTTTTTCACTTAACACGTTGGTGAACCATCCAAGTTGACACGTAGCTCTACTTATTTTCAATGTTATACAGTATTTCATAGTATGAATAATACAGTACATTTTATTTGAGCATCTTTTCATATATTTATTGGATCCTCTTCTTTGTCCTTTATTGATATCATTTGTCCATTTTTTAATTGGTTGTTTTACTCTCATTGGATATTTGGTCTGTACTTTCCTTTTCTTGTAATGTCTTTGTCTAGTTTTGGAATCAGAGCAATACTGGCCTCAGAGAATGGGTTGGGAAATGTTCCCTTCTTTTATTTTTTTTTTTGGAAGAGTTTATGAAGGACTGGTATTAATTCTTCTTTAAACATTTGGTAGAATTTGCCAGTGAAGCCATCTGATCCTTAGCTTTTCTTTATGAGAAGTTTTAAAATTATTAATTTAACACTTTGTTAAAAGTCTATTCAGATTTTCTATTTTTCCTGGGTTAGTTTTGGTAGTTTGTGTATTCTTAAGAATTTGTCCATTTAATGCTACTGTAAATATTTATTTTTATTTTTAAAATTACATTTTGTTTATTGCTGAGAAATCAGATTTTTACCTCTTGATCTTACATCCAGCAATATTACCAAACTTCCTTATTAATTCTAAGAATCTGTGTGTATATATTCTCTTTGGATTTCTAGGTAAGTGCATGACAGGTATCCCCAAGCCCCAATCCTTATTTATTTATTTTTCTTGCTTTGCTGTGCTAGCTAGATCTTTAGGACAAGGTTGAACAGACTACTGAACCCTTTTAAGGAATGTTTTTATCATTTAACTATCAGGTATCATGCTTGTTGTAGGTTTGTGCTAGATAAACCCTTTATTTAGTTCAAGAAATTCTTTTTTATTTTTCATTTGTTATTTGTTTTAAGGTATTTTAGGGTAGGAATTTCTTCATTTTATTCACTTTTATTCACATTTTATTCACATTTTATTCACATTTATATCTCTCCTGAAATGATCACTTTTTTTCCTTTCCCTCTTTAATTTGTTAAAGTAATGAATTACATGAATTATTTTTAATAGTATGCCACCTTTGCATCCCTGGATAAGTGTAAGGTGATCATGTCTTTAAAAAACATACATTGGTGGATTTGGTTTGTTAACATTTTGTTTAGGATTTCTGCATCTATGTTCATGAATAAAATAGGCCCATTATTTTTCTTTCTTGTATTATCTTTGTTTGATTTTGGTAACAGGGTTATACTAGCTTCCTCACAAAAAGATAGGGCATTCCCCCACTCATCCAACAATGGAGAGCACGTGTATAAAACTGGAATTTTCTATTCCTTGAATATTTGGTAGACTTTTACCTGGAAAACCATTTGGGCTTGATGTAATTCTTGTGGGGAGATTTTTTAAAAATTGTTTTTAATTTTGCATTTTGACATAATTTCAGACTTACAGAAAAGCTCCAAAAATTGTACAAGGAATCCCCATACACCCTCATCCAAATTCCCTAAATGTTAATTAACCACATTTGCTTTATCCTTCTCTCTCTCACACTCGCTATCTCTTTATACACCTGTATGTGTATATATCTACACACATACACGCACATATCATTATTTTTCCTTTCCAAAATGTGTGAAGATATGTTGCAGACAGATGTCCCTTTATCCCTAAAAACTGCAGTGTGTATTTCCTAAAAACAAGAACATTCTTCTACAAACCACAGTACAATTATCAAAAGCAGAAATTAACGTTAATACTATTATCTAATGTACAAAGCTTATTCAAATTTTGCCAAATGGGGCCGGCCCCGTGGCTTAGCGGTTAAGTGCGTGCGCTCCGCTGCTGGCGGCCCGGGTTCGGATCCCGGGCGCGCACCGAGGCACCGCTTCTCTGGCCATGCTGAGGCCGTGTCCCACATACAGCAACTAGAAGGATGTGCAGCTATGACATACAACTATCTACTGGGGCTTTGGGGGAAAAAATAAATAA